CACTATAAACTCCCTTTCAACTTAGCAAGGCACTCCATGGTATAAATGCTATGACTTGGCCAATTTTGAGCTGCCAGTCTGAGGTCACTGAGCCCAGACTTAGGAGGAGGTACACTGGTTTTGGCAGCAGCTCATGACTTTATAAAGTAATCCCCTGTGTGGACAAAGCAACTGTAAATGATTCCAAAAGCACACATATCCGTCAGATAATTTAGAAGTGGCAAATTTGGAGTGTTTATTACTTTTAGTATAATTTAGTTGTAAGTTTGTGTATTTCAATTTTAATAATGACTGTATTAAACATCTGACTTTCAAGACTGTTTGAAAGTTCACTAATAAGTTCCTGAGTCTAGCTGGTTCCAGCATGGTGTGATACTGGGTGCAGTGTATCATGTGTTGTAGGCTGTATAACCAAGTGTGTCTTTACAGTGTTTTGTGGACTACAGTTCCTGTGCTTTTGTGTACTTAGAGCTTCACTCTCCCCAGCATTGAGTGTCATAATCCATTCAGCTAGAAAGGTTCATCTGTACTTGTGTGTGAAGGCCCTCTGTTTTGAACATTATTTAAGCCCTGGGTTGAAAATTTGTTTTTGTACAGGCTAGAGAACAGATGAACACATACATTATCAGATTGTCCCTTTGTGAAGCCTTTGTACAAGTAATGCACACTGCAGATGCTTATGGTCTTGAACCATTATCATAACATATGTTCCTGCTCCAAAGTGGCAAATGTGCCTCTGTTCTGAAATAGCTCATGTATGAGCACTCACATCCATATCTTATGCTCAGGGTCTGGCTGTGGAGGAGGTACAGGGACTTCCATGCCAAAGGAAGTATTGCTATGCCAATTGCTTTAGCCTGAACCAGACAGGACTGTTTAGAGCGGGTGTATTATTTCTGTCCCTGTTATGGTCATCATTGCCCTGTGCTCATCATCATTACCAATAAGCACTGTTTATCAAGAGCCGTCATGTGCATCTCACTGTGACAGACACCATGCAAATCAAGTGGCATCAATGATCTCATGAAGGTCAAGCCCAGACACAAGCAAACAGCATTAGGTACTGCATCTCTGCCGTTTCAGGGTGGGAAACAGGGTATGTGATGTGATGAGATGTGAAGAAGGTAAGGCCGGCATTCCTTGCAGGGCAGGGAAAGGAAAAGATGGTGTACCAGGTGATGAGAGGAGGTGAAGCTAAGCAGTTAGTGTGAGCCTCAGAACTCATTGGTTGAGAGGTGTGTGGAGCAGTAATGAGATGGAGAGAGGCAAGTGAGGGAGAAAAGGATGGAGGGATGGAGGGTAAGGAAAGGATAGAGGCTGAAAGATACTGAGACAAAGGGAGAGAGACGGACAAATACAGAAAGACATGGAGATTGACAGAGAAATAGGGAGACAGAGGAAGAAACTGGGGGTGGCTAAACAGAAAGATACAGACAGACAGACAAGGGACAGAGACAACAAGACAGAGGAAGAGGAGAGGAGACAGAACAAGAGAAAGTAAGGAGGCCCAGGAGGAAGCTGGGAGGTGGCCTTGAGGGGATGCAGCATGGGTGTGAGGGGATCTCTAAGCCCTGGTCTCCATCACACCCCTCTGTTCTGTCCTGTCTCCTCCCACCATCACCACATCTGACAAGGAGAAGCTAAGTGGGTAGATGGTGTGAACTGATAGTGTGAACCCACCTGGTACCAGGGGTTTGATTCCTGGGCTAATTCAGGGAGTGGTCTCTCTGTAGCCAGCTGGAGAAGAGACATTACCATTTTCTTCAGCATTTGCCTTCTTCAAAATAAAAGGCTAGAAGCCAGATGTGGTGACATGTGCACCCAGGAGGCAGAGACAGAAGGGTCACTGTAAGTGATGGCAGTTTGGGCTTCGTAGTGAGTTCTGGCTCAGCTTGTGCTACTCAGTGTGGCCCTGTTTCAAAAACACCAGGAGAAAGCTGTGGTGGTGCACACCTTTAACCCCAGCATCCAGGAAGCCAAGGTAGGTGAGTTCCTGAATTCAAGACCATCGTGGTGTCTACATAGCCAGGGTTTCAGAGACAACCAGGCTTGTACAGAGAGGCTCTGTCTCAAAAAACCTAAAATCCAGACTAAACCAAATAAACAAACAAAAACTCTAAACTACCACCACCATATCACACCACCACCACCACTACCACCACCACCACCACCACCACCACCACCACCATACCATACCACCACCAGCAACAGCTCCAACAAAAAATACCAAGAGAAAACAGTCTAGAATATTTTTCCATTCAGGACATCATTTGATTATCCCTGGAGGTGATGTAACATGACTTCTGCTTTTTTTCAAGGGGATTTCATTAAAAAGATAAAGCCCTGTCTTATGAGCATTACCATCGATAGACTTGCCAGCAACCAATATAAGGTGGGCTTTGTAGCCCCTGTTTAATTTACTGTCTATTGATGTTTAAGATCCCAGAGACAAGATTTCATTTCTGTAGCATTAATTTACTTCATTTTTCTGGAGAGCCATAGAATTAAGTTAGAAAACTAGTATTGTCTGAGGGTATCAAGAGAATTTTTGTTAAAGTGAAAATTGCTGCTTTTTCCCCCTTTCACTCCAAGAACAGATGAAAATATTGTAAAGGGGAATACATTTTCTTTTCAAAGATGAGCTGTTTGAAGACTTTAGGTTGTTCCTGGTGATAGAGAAATCAGAGCTTTGATTTACGGACATTTAGCCCTCTCCTTGTTCTGGCAAGCCAGGGGCAATCAAAGCAAGGACCTAAATGGTACTCTTTTTTTCTATAGCTACTTGGTAATTTCCCATGAGAATTTGGAATCACTGTTGATAGAGGCTCATGTTTTCCCTGCCCTGGAGGCCCAGAATCCTCAGAGTAGGGTAGAGAAGGAGACCTGGGATACTGACTTCTGGACTTTGGAGCGACACTTTGTATTTCCCTATACTGTTTAATGTCTCCATCTTAAAATGAGAGCAGAACTTAACCCTCATCACCCCTGGCTTTGGTTCTCTTTAGTAGAGTAAAAGATACCCAATAGAGCAGTCCTTCAGGGTATAGAACTTAGCATAGCTCAGTTGGTTTACGTATTTTATTGAGCATACAAGACATGCCAAGTCTCATATAGGTACTAGGAACACAGCCTGTGCCTTCCGGCGCTTTGATTGACTGGGGGATCTCTTGGGATTGTGGGGGACAGCTTGTCTTAGACTTTAGATCCTACACTGGTGACAGGAAGCTGAGGGCTGTGTGTGTAAGACACTTCTTGCTTTAGATGATATATTCAACTTTCCTTGGGTCCTTGGCCTTTATTTCCCCTCTATCCTCTCCGGCCTTTCTCCATTCATTCCTTCTAAGACAGAGATTCTCATTTCTGAACTAGCTGCAGCTGCAAACACCCATGTAGGAAATTTTAGGAACAGCGAAACTGTTGGAATTTTGGGGTGTGTGCTTGCTTAGAGACTACATTAGCCTAGGATGGTCTGTTCCCCTCCACTTAGGTTATAAACTATAGATCAGTACATTTATCCTGGTTTCCAAAAGAGCTTCGGATTTATTCAGTTTTAAAGATTCTATATCTGTCTATCTATCTATCTATCTATCTATCTATCTATCTATCTATCTATCTATCTATCTATCTATCATCTGTGTATATGTGTGCATGCTTGAGTGTGTGTATATGTGTATGCGTGCGTATGTTTGTTTGTATGTGTATGCATGGCTGAACATGTCTGTGCTTCCATAGAGGCCAGAAGAAGACATAAGATCCCTTGGAGTTGGAGTTACCTGCCTTTGCAGGACTCCTAGTTTTTTTTTGTGGGCACTGGAATCAGAACTCCATTACTCATAACTTTTCAGCAAGAGTGATTAACCATCAAGCCTTTTCTTTTAACCACTCTGATTCTCTCATCTAAACATCTTACGCTATGGTTGATGTAGCTGGGGACTTTACGACTCTTTCAGACAAATTCAAGCTGCTATGACCCTTCACCTTAAATCACACCTTGTAAATATTTTCCAGACATGATTTATGGAACTGTTTCTGCAGTGGGTGGCATCTTTGGGCATCAGAAATCAGGTGGGCAGGGGGCAGGGAGCAAGGAGTGGATCTTGGACATCACGATGAGGCTAAGGGGAGTGGGGCGACTCCCACCCAACTCAGGCCTTTCTCAGTTAGCAGGAGTCTATGAAGGATGCTGAGATGCCCTTCCTGTAAATTCCTTCTCCTTCTGTTCACCTTGATGCTGGGGCTACTCTTCCCTGAGAACAGCCTGTGGAGGCTTTTGAAACACCTTTAGTGCAAAGTAAAAGATGTAGCAGAGAAAACCCCTCTTTACTCCATACTCAGTCCCATTCTGTGATAGTGGTCACAGCATCCACAGATGGCAGATCTAAGTCATTTATTCCTCATAAAAATAATTATTTCAATTTACATTGCAACAGGAGAAAAACTAACCCCTAGGTCAGAGGTTTGGAATATTTGCTGTGGCAACTCGAAATTGCTGGGTATGTGCATTTGAAAGGTGCTTTTTCCTCAAGTATATGAAATGAAAAATGTGGATGGGCAGGGATTGGGGCGATGGCTTAATTGGTAAAATTCTTGCTGTTCAAACATAAGGATCTGAGTTTGGCCCCCCAGAAATCACATAAAAGGCTCTGTGTGGTGGTGTGTGCTTGTAATCCCAGTGCTGCGGCGTCAGAGATAGGCAAATTCCTGGGGCTCACTGGTCAGCCAGTCTAGCCTAATTGGTGAACTCTAGGCTTATGGACAGACTCCATCTCAGAAGATATGGTGGAGACTGACTAAGGAAGGCACTGTGCATTGACTTCTGGTCTTACACAACATGTATGCACATGTTGTGTCCAAATGTCAGGCACCTGAGTCCTTGATGATGAACACTGTGTTTCTTGGAGTGGGTTCAATGCTAAGACCTAGTATGGATCTGCTGTTTTGCTGTCCTCACTAAGCTCTAGAGCCGATTTTGGAAACAGAACAGCCAAGTTGGCTCTTACCTGGCAATCTTGTCTGTGCAGGACATGGTGACTAGCTGCTCCCCCAGCAGGATGCCATCCCATGTCTGGACTGCACTGGGGCCCCGGACAGGGACTGTCCCTTCCCCAGACTCAATCTTGGTGCGCAGGTGGCCTCGGAACTTCCTGACGATGTGTTTGCTGCTGTTCACTAGGAAAGAAGAAGTGACCGTGAAAGATGGCAGGAGCGATGGTCCAGAGGCACAAGAGTTTGCTTGTAGAGGCGGAGGAAAGAAGTGCGACAAAGCAGCCTAGGCACAAAAGGCCGGTCTTAGACATGAAGGCAGGGTGGAATTTACTCATTTAACAGTGAAATGGTTAAGATCTGGGCTGCAGATTTTAGCCTGGGGTTGGCCAGATATCCCGTGAAGGACAGAGACAAATGTCTCAGAGACTCTGTGGGACCACACTGTCTCCTTTACCCTTTCTCAATGCACAAAGCCATCATTGGGTTGATTTGTCACAGAATGAGTCTAACATTCAATTTTTTGGACATCAGAATTTAAATGTGTAATTTTTCTGAGTTGCGAACCACAGTCAGATCTCCATATCCACAGGTTCTGTAGCTGTGCATTCAACCAAAAAACATTAGGCTCAAAAATTGCAGTTTTTATTATTCCCTAAGCAATATAGTACAACAGCCATTTTTATCATATCTACATTGTCTAGGTATTGTAAGTAACCTAGCAGTGATTTAGATCTCACAGGAGGATATGCATAGGTTATGTGCAAACACCACAGCAATTTTCTGAGGGATTGGAGCATCGTTTGTGGGGAGTCATGAACAATCCCCAGGAATACCCAAAGATATTGTATTTTTCTTTTCAGTTTTTCTGAGTTGTTTAGAATAAACTTTACCAAACAGTTTTACATAAGTTTTTTTTTTTCCTAGAAAGAACCAAAAGGGAAGAATACTTCCCCACTCAAGGTGTACATGGATACAACCCAGAGGGGTAATTGTAAGAAAGAAAGGCATAGACTATTGTGCCTCATATACGTAGATTCTAAAGAAATTTTACAAATTGCAGGCAGTTCTACAGAAGAGACAATTGCTTATGGTCAAGAAGGTTTAGTTCAGAAATGTCTTTTCACTTTTTTCCCAGCCACTAACAATTGTAAAGCCGTGCCTAGTTTTCAGGTCATTAGGAGCAGGTGCTGGGTGGGTTTGGCCTCTCAAGCTGGTGTAGATTTTAATCCTGGTGTCACTACTGACTAGCTGTGTGACTGTGGGAAAGCTACTTAAAATCATTGTGACATGGTTACTTCCTCTTAAAACAGAGCCAGAGGTGATGGCTACAGCCATAGCTTAGCTACTAGGCTGTAAAGGTTAGGAAAGCCAGCAGGTCTGAAAAGGCTGGTGTAGCCTAGATACCCACTGGCAGAAGAATGAATAAAGAAAATGCAGTATAGACACACAGTGAAAGTTTATGCAGCTATGAGGAAGAATGAAATCTTTGCTTTTCAGGAAAGTTGATGGAACTGGAGGTCATCATTATGATAATTAATATTGACTGGATCTTGCATAAATTAGAAGGCAAGTACACATACATTCATTATTTCTCTGTTCTGGTTGTGAATGTGACCAGCTGCTTCAAGCTCCTCCCCCAACTTGCCTGCAATCAAGGACTAGAGCCAGGAGTTGTAAGTTGAACAAACCTTAAAGTTCTTCCTTAAAGTTGCTTTTGTCGGGGTATTTTGTCACCTCAGTAGGAAGTGAAACTGGGACAATCATATTAAACAGAATAAGCCAGATTCACAACAAATATTGTATGTTTCCTCTTATACACAGAATCCAGATCTAAAAAATTTATATAGCTCATGGAAGTAGAAGAGAAAGTTATGTGGGGGAACAAGAGGTGGTGATGGTGGGGAGAAAGACAAATATTGAATGTTTCTCTCTTATGAGGAAATCCAGATTTATATAAATGACACAAAGAAGAAGGGGAATTATTGGGAGGGAGGAGACCAGTAGGACGGGAGAATGGGAAGAGAGAATGAGAGTGGGTATGGGCAAACTGCAATGAGATAGATGTATAAAACATCACTACAAAACTCACTGTTTTGTGTGGTAGTGGACATATATATATCTTGTATAACTTGGAGCATGTAGTTCTTCTTAAGTATTGACTACCAAGGGCCTAGATGACACAGGTACTTTTCTTTGCTTGCAAATGACAAACTTCCTGAGGCTGGTCCCCATATGTCTCTCACAAGTCTGCCCTGAGTTTTCCCTTCTTCCCAGACCCTACTTGACATACATATGCCCACATACATTACAACGTACAGTCCACAGTTATCTGGTAAACCAGCATGAACAAGAGAAACTTTACATTTAATTTTCTGTCTTTCTTTAAAAAATTCTATACATGATGTTTAGATAATATGGTATTAGAGAAATGCCTAACTGCTTTGTCTACGAATTATACATATGGTAGCATGAATGACTATTAAACATTTTCTTTAAAATGTTTTTAAGATTTGAAGGTTCCATAGATGTAGTTTCACCATCATTTATTTTCACTGACATAGTGGATAGAACACACTAGCTTGTTGTGGACATTTCTCCTGCAGAGATTACAGTAATTTCCAGTGTACTTTATACTGAGTTGATGTTCTTTCCATACACATTCATAGAATATCTTTTGGGCTGAAAGGAGTCTCAAAGCTTGGAAAAGATAAACTTTTGAGTGGCTCCAGGCATCTTTTTCACTGTGGCCAGTTAGACAAGTGATGAGATCCAACTTAGATTTGTCCCTGTGTCATCCATAGGAAGACAAACCAAGAAGAAACAGGGCCTGGATGGATGCAATAAGCAAACTTGAATGGCACTACAAGCTGGAAGATGCTGATGGTGGTACTCCATAGTAACACTGTGAAGCTCTTAATGATGACAGTAGTGGTGATACAGTGATGGTGATGGTGGCGCTGCTGTACTGGTAATGTGGATATGGTAGTGGTGATGATAATGGTGGCTATGGTGGTGATGATGGTGGAGATGATGATGATGACAGTGAAGGTGAATATGACAATAATACTGGTGATAAAACTGAACAAAATAAAAATAGTTCATGTGACTCAAAAATACTCGACATAACTTGGGTTTAATCCTGAACTAATACACACTTCAGATGGGGTCCTTTCCAACATTAACTTTCTGTGGCAGATAGCAAATTGGGAATGGGGCAGCTAGCAATACAACTTCTATAGTGTTGTCCAAAGGGAAGGGACTTTACTATCACACTTGGGAGGTAGATTTCCAGGGGATATGGTACTTGCTGTCCCTATACTTCTGTCAATTATGCTGTCCTTATATTCTCCAAGGATACTATGTAAAATTTTCCAGGCCTTGAAAGTTGCCCATTATAGCTTAAAAGCTTTCTAAATTTTCACCATCTGTTAATGTCAAGCAATAAAAAAATCCTGAATTGAGTTACAATATATTTTAGGAGTCAACTCTAAGTTTTAGGTTAGATTAATTTCACCTTAAGAGCCAGGTGTGGGAGATGCTCCCAGGTGTGTTTTCTTTGCCTTTTCTAGTGTGTTCCCTGGTGAGTCCGCTGAGTCCCAGGGTGAGCTGAAGAGCTGGTGAGCTCCTACAAACCATTTCCCCCCACTCTGATTTTTCTTGGCTAATTGCAAGAGGCAGGAGGGAGTTGAAGATGCCACTTCAAGTATAATAAAATGCCAATCTAACCAGCAACTGCAGGGGATTGACCTTAAATAATCAGCAGGGGATTGAACCTGTTCTTGAGACAACGAAGATGTGAAACTTTAAAATCCTGCCTGTCATGTATCCATAGATAATTTCAAGTCCATTAGAACACTCTACTCAATTCTTATATCCAGAGACCACTAGCCCCATTGTTATTATGTTTATTAACTTTTTTGGTTTGATAGTAAGGAAGTTAGAGTGGTAGTATGCTTTAAAAACTCTTCAGGAGACTATTGAATTTTCAGGAGAGGCTCAAAAGGGGTGGTGAGACAACTAATTAAATATTATGGCTGCTCCAATGGTATAATTGTGTGTGTGTGTGTGTGTGTGTGTGTGTGTGTGTGTGTGTGTGTGTAGATTAGAATTGAAAATTAGAAACAAAACAATTTAACAAGCAAAAATTCCCACCCCCCGACAAAGGTATAAAAAAGAAAGCATTTTTAAATACTACATTAAAAAATTCAAGTTATCATCAATTAACATAGTTTAGAAAGTGTATTTGTGAAGTAGGCCATCGTTTACTATAATAAAACCTCTAATAGTTACCATGTGGTTATGTAGGTGATCTTTGTTTTGTTTGCATTATGAGACTATGAAAATGTATTACTCTACAGTTCATGAGCATGATCCTGTGTAACATGTTTTTGTGACTCAGTAGGACATCTGAAGATAGGAATTTAGGGACCCATGCTTTAGATCCCCAACTGCCTACAGGACTGTGTCTCAGTTTTGTACCCTGCCCTTTTGCACAATAAATGTGACTGGCTTAGATTGACTGCATTAGGCACCTAGCACAACACTGTAGATACCTATATTATAGAATCTTGCTATTTTATGACATCTTGTAGAAGATTTACTATAGAGTTTAATATGCTAGATCATTGGAAAGTGATGGGAATAATTGAGTTTGCCAGGTTAGTTAATGAAAGGGGATTAATAAAGAGGCTACTGATGATTTGAAAGGAAGACAGAAGTTGTTCAGCCATGAGGAAGTGTGTGGGTCCTGATATTCTTCTCTTACATTTAGGATCTCTCATACAACCTATTATTATTATTATTGAAAAAGTTTCTTAAAGGTGTGTATTATGTGTTGAGTATATTCCTCATCCTATTCCTCCCCTGCACCCCCTTTCCTGTGCCTCCTCACACTCACTAGTCCCTTTTATTCCTCTAGACAATTCCACTTCCACTTTCATTTAATAAATCCATGCATGGTTTTATGTGGCCATGTTAGCTCCAGGAACCATAAGAGAGAGGACACACAGAAGAATGAAAGTATCTCTCACCACTTGTGAACATCAAACCAAATGGGTCAAAGACTGTCAGATAAGACCCGACTTTCTGAAACTGTCAGAGAAAAAAGTAGGTAAAAATACATCAAGATACAGGCATAGCCAATGACTTTCCAAATAGAACCCCCTAGTTGCTCAGGAAATAAG